GAACTAGTATTTCTTTATACTCACAAGGACCATTGTTACTGTCGGGGGCTGCGAAACAGGGAGATAACAACAATACTTTAATGTCTAGTTGAATCAAATAAGCATTCGTAGAGAATATATTATAGGAGAGACGGGTAGACAGAGAGGAGAATTAATTAAAAAAGAGAGAGAGAGAGAGAGAGAGAAATAATTATTACGAGTAAAAAAAAAAAGTAATGACGAACGTAAATACTATTTCAACGTCGAACAGAATCGACACAAAGTATATAATCATTTGCGATTAATTATATATACGAGTAAATTAATAGTAACGATTATAACTGCAGCTTGTGTTACGTGCGATACATTCCAGTACAGCCCCAATTTACTACTGTCTCACCACTACACCGTAACTTGATTAGAATTTAGTCACCGAATACCATGTACAGCAAAACCAACGCGTCATTCGTTAAAGTAGAAAGCGCGGTTGTTTGTGTACGGGATTATCGAGATAATCACTTATATTTAACCCCTTCATTACCGTCACTGTATATTTCTATAAATGCATAAGTTTGCTTATCGTACCTCGTGTGTGTACACTCTGTTGTAACATTAACGAACGGATGAAATAATACACGTTTCGAAAAGTTGTGTGCCTCACCGTTCAGTCGATTATTACATGGTCGCAAACATGTCGACAGATATTCCTCGTCTCGCAGAGCACGAGGCGAATATTTTCGGTAATGAATAGGTCGAAAGTGATGAGCCCCACAGCCGAGTTGCAATGAGAATCCTCGGGAGACGTTTTGTACGGGACTGGATTTAGGACGCAACGTTCACCGATCGCGCGCGTTTACAATTTCGAATGTAACACACGTTCGCCGCTGTGTCGTGAGATGCCATTGGAAAAATTTTCGTCGTACCGAAGAAAAAAAAAAAAAAGGACCAAGAAAGACAGAGAGAGAGAGAGAGAGAGAGAGAGAGAGAGAAAAGTATAGAACGAAAAAAGAAAAAAATACATGTATACATACACGTACACTACTACCGTTCGACCGTATCGTGTCTCGCATGGAACGATGACGCAAGAAATAAAAATATATACCACGTGAAAGAGAGAAAAATCGACAGGACCGAAAACGTGGTAGTTTTTTTTAAATCTTATCGTACGTGTGTGTGTGCGTGTGTGTTGTTGAAAGCTACATTGTTCGAGTTGCAACTTCATCGTTCCGTGCCCGAGCGCGCTACGCGTTTAATTCAATCTTCGCTTCATCCACGGTTTTTTGAAAAACTGTTTCGCCGTGCGACCGACGAACGCTCGCTCACCTGTGTTGAAATCCAGAGCGAATTCCTCGAAATCGTTGCCTTTAGTTATACTGTATATGAGCTTGCGATTCAACGGTGACTCAGCTTGAATAGACAAAGCTAGGGGCGAATGTATCTCGATACTTTCCAACACGCTGTCCGTATAAAATTGCTTGTCAAACACTGGCATCGACCGATCTATCACCTTCACGTTCACCGGCACCTCGATCGAGCACGGTGTTATGCCTGGAATAAAGTTTCAAGCCTCGTCGAAAGTTGTTTAAACGCCAATTAAAATGTAGATCCGGTGGATAGCCAGTTTACCTCCGTCATACGCGGCAATAGTGAGCTGATATTCACGATTGTGACCCTCCAGATTCTGTTTCAGGGATATCTCGCCCGTTTTCCGGCACACCTTGAACAGCTCCCCGTGACCTTTTTTCAATTCGTACCTGACTTCTCCGTTGTCGCCGCTGTCCATGTCTACCGCGTGTACCTGTAAAGCCAATAAAGAGAGATTTCCACTTGTATATCAATTATTCCAGGATTTAACAAAATTTCAAAACGTTGGAATGATTCTCCAAGTCGGAAAAGTTTCCAAGTGAAAAATCGATACAACGGAAAGGAATTGACGGCGAAGAAAGCGAGTAAGATTCTATTAAGCTAATGGAGCCGGAGCGGCAATTTCCTTGCTCATCATCTCACACAACACTCAGCGTTCTAGAGAACAATTGCAATCTACTTGCCTTGGTAATAACGTCGCCTTTCTGCGCGTCCACGGACACGACGGCGTAATAGGGCAAGTTAACAAACATTGGACAGTTGTCGTTGATGTCCAATATAGTGACGTTCACGATCACGTGCGCCACCCTTGGCTTCTCTTTACTCGGCATGTGACTCTTCGCCTCCACTATCAGTTCGTAATGCTCGCAAACCTCCCGATCGAATCTAATCCCGGTGGTGCGGATCGCGCCGGATGTCGGCCCAATTACGAACATGTCGGTCGGGTTCAGAATGCTGAAGACAATGTGCTCGTTGAGCGCGCTGCCCAAAACGTTCACAACGGCCACTGTCGTGATCCTCGTCGAGTTCTCCGGGATCGTTCCCTCGTAGACGTCCTTCTGGAACATCAACCCGGAGTTCTCCGACTTCTCCACCATCACGTTCACCTGGCAGACGTTCGAGTACTTCCCATCGGAGACACGGACCCTCAGCAGGTAGCTTCTCTTCATACGTTCCGGATTATAAACCGTGATCACGCCCGTCTGAGGCTCTATGTCGAACGTGTGCGCTTTGTTCCCGTCGATGATGTCGTACCTGTGACCCGGCACAGAAAGAAACAGAATCGTTGTTACTCACAGGAGAAGATGATACGGCGTTGATTGAAGAAAAGGAAGTAAAACGTGTAAAGGATCGTTAAACTTTCCGGAACTTGACGAAAAGAAACGAAAGGACAACGATGCGCGAGCACCTATGCAAATTGGAAGATTGGTTCCTTCGCCAGCATCGAAAACGATCATGCAAATTATAATAGTAAATAAATGCTAACTAAGCTGCACTAAATAATAGTAAATAATAGTAAATAATAGTAAATAAATTTCATGCAAATTATAATAGTAAATAAATGCTAACGAAGTTGCAGCGGCATCCACATAAATACGAGTCAATATAGAAGCACGTAGATTTTAACACGTTTGTTGACCATTCACGAGTTAACTCGTGTTTGCACTTGCATTAGCTATTTTAATTTTTGACACTCGGGGTAACATTGTGAAATCTGTCTTCGTCGTGTTCAATCGTGTTCACTTTATCATTAAAAAAAAAAATTACTTTTGTTGATATTTAGGTTTTTATCGTAATTTTGGTATTACAAAAGTATCAATCATGACGGATTGCGACAGTGAGGAAAGTCTTTTCAATTATATGCAGGCAGATTTATCTGATTGTCCGAGTGATTTTGAAATATATTGCAGTGATGTGGATATTGATAGTTTAGTCAAGGAAGACAGTTCAGAATCGAATGTTAGACGGCAAATTTCCAAAACCTGTTGTGTATCGTAGGTGATTGCTATACAAGTTATCACGCCAAAAAAAGTTACTAACTAAAGTATATTATATATGTAAAATATAATATATATATCTATATAACAGATATACAAAGTTAAATTCATTCTGTATAAATGAAATATATTGAAGTTTATTTAGATTGTTTCACTTTCATACTCAATTACGAAATAATAATCGGTGACTATTACGATGAGATGGCTTCTGCGTAAAATTGCCGGTCAACAATGTGTTAATATTAATTAATCTTTAACGGGTACCTGAGCGGGACTCCTTCGGAACTGTCCGGATCTGCGGCGCTCACTTGGATCACCGCGACGTTCTTATACGTGGGCAGCAGTACAGTGGCGTTGTAGTCGTTTTCAAGGAACTTGGGCGGACAGTCGTTGACATCGGTCACTACGATCATGACCTTGGCGGTGGTCTCGGAAGACAGTTTCGGTTTGCCCAGATCGGAAACCTTCACGTGGAAGGTAAACTTGGGAATGCTCTCGTGATCCAGAACCATCACGGTCCTGATGGCACCGGTGCTCGAGTCTATGTGGAAGTATTTCCGAGGCAAATCCTCGACGATGTCGTAGTTCAAAAGGGCGTTCAATTCGGAGTCGGCGTCCTCGGCCTTTATGACCAACGGGGTGCTGCTGTTGGTCAGTACCAACGAGCCTATGCTAGCGCCCTCGCTTATCTCTCCGCTGTACGTTGCTTGCAGGAACCTCGGCGCGTTGTCGTTTCGATCCAGAACGTGAACGATCACGTTGCAGTGCGCCCTCGCGCTGGCCATGTTGGTCGCCGCTACCGTCAGATTGTAAAACTTGGTCTTCTCGTAGTCTAGCTCGTTCTTGATCACTATGATGCCCGTACTTGGATTCATGAAAAACGTGTCGTCCTTGTTACCTTGCACGATCTCGAACTGCAACGAGGACGTGCTCCTGGCTTCCACGTGTTTCACGTACGTACCTAGCTGCTGGTTCTCGTAGATCTCGGCGGACAGTTCTTTTTGAATGAACCTGGGAGGGGCGTTGTCAGCCATGGTGACCATCACGTGTACAGGCACGGTGTTAGACAAAGCCGGAGAACCGTGATCCGTCGCCTTCACCAGCAGTATGTACTCCGAGGATACACTGAGATCCAATTCTCGAGCCACGCGAATCACACCTAGATCCGGATCTATCACGAACATGTTACCCACGTTGCCAGATGTGATCGAATACGTTATTTTCGCGTTCCCCCCTCTGTCCCTGTCTATAGCGTAGACTTGTACCACGGCGGCGCCAATCGGAGACGTTTCGTACACCTTGCCCTGGATGATCTCGCTGATGAATTCCGGCGCGTGGTCGTTGTGATCGTGCACCGTCACTATCACTCTCGCGTAATTTCGTTTCGCGGGCGTTCCTTGGTCTTTCACCATCACCGTGAGCACGTGTTCCTCGATGGCCTCCCGATCGAGCACCTCGTTCAGGGTAACCGCTCCCGTCACCGAGTCCACGTGGAATATCTCCAAGGAAGCCTGATTCTGGGCGGCGTGAAGGCTGTAGAACACCTTCTTGTCCTCGTCCTCGTCGGTCGCGTGCAGCTGCAGGATCTTCTCGCCTTTCTCCACGTTCTCCGAGATGTCCACGTGATAAATGCTCTCGGTGAATTCCGGCCGGTGGTCATTGATGTCGATCACCGTGACCAATAGTTGCGTCACGGCCGTCAGCACGCTGTCCGTGACGCGGATCGTCAGGTTGTAAAAGTTCTGCGTCTCCCAATCGAGCCTCTTCGCCAACAGCACGTTCCCGTTGTCCCGGCCGATGAAAAACTCGTCTCGTTTGTCACCGTCTGCAAGCAAATAGAACTCCAGCGTTCTCCTTCGTCATTTTACGGTACAAAACACCGTACTGATCATCTGATTGTCATAGAGTGTAATAGAAAAAAGAAAGAAAGAAAAAAAGGACAGATTGAATTTTGTCGTATCTCAATGGATCTCTCTAAATAAACTTACGATTTTGATAATCGTGACATAAATGCGTCTCGAATTGGTCCGGCCATTTGGCGGCACGAAGTTTAACTGTTGCGGGACCCAACTGCGAAACTTTCCAACTTCGATCCTTCTAACTTTGAGAACGTTATTCGAGCCCTAGTTACTCCCGAGCCACTCGAATGTATCTCAACGAAAACAGCCGGTATTTCGCCAATTAACAACAAGATATCGTGATCGACGAACTTTAACTCTCAAACTCTGTTAGCGTTAATGGATGCGCAACGTTCAAAATAATCATTTAACGACACGAGAGAAAATAATATTTTAAAATTGAAACGAGACAGGGGCTCCGTGAAAATCAAACTTTTTAACAAATCCGAAGATTTTTCGTTCGCGTTGCAATGTTAATGGTATTTGAGAAAGAAGCAAGTTTATTTACACCATTTCAATATTTTTGTGATCACATTGCTTCGGAACAGTTCGACCATGTTAAATAAACATGTACGATAACACAATTACAAAAGATGCGTACGATTTATGAAAGAAAAAGCGATAGGGAGCCTAAACGAGAAACTACGAGAAACTACGACTAGATTCAATACGTAAACTGCAACTTAATATTGCAATTTATGTGGAAAATGAAAAACAAAGACATATCAATTAATTCTCTCATTCGTTATACTTTTCTATAAACCACATATCTTGGTATTTTTCAAGGTTGGTTTCACCAATGAACAGTCCAATCCTAATACGTGAATGAAACCGATCGAATTGCAATGTAAATATCATTTATCAAGAATGAAAATAAATAATTTCAATCTGCAGCAAAATACGATTTATTTATATCCTGGCACGCACATTGGCACGCACATTACCTAAATTTGCTCGAAATAATAATAATAAAAAAAAAAAATAAAACTGAAAAAGCAACAAGGTTATACAAGGTTTCTTTTTTAAAAAGTGGTTCTAACCCAGATTTACCCTGACATCTCTCAAGGATAACGTAAAGTGCAAGTAGCAAGACTCACCGATAATGTCATACCACAGGGAGTCGCCGTCCTTGTCGGTGGCCTGGACGAGAGCCACGAGGAAGCCTACCTCGTCGCTTTCCGTAACCTCGACGCTCTGATTGTTCGTCTTGAAGACTGGCGGGTTCTCGGATTCCTTCGGTACCTCGACAACTTGCACGGACACCCGTGTTTGATGACTGCGCTGCGGTTCCCCGCTGTCGGCGGCCCTTATCTGGCAAACAGAGAGGCGTACGCGGCCAAGTTAAACTCCAACTTAAATTGTATTAAGGGAAAGGGCCGCTGCTTTCTCGATCGACCATGAATTATGACTTCTGGAACGTCCGTGTTGGATTTCCCGTTGGATGCTCCGTTCGCAATATGCGCGAGATCCTTTGTGGCGAAACGGTTTCTATCATCATAGAGTCAATAATTCTTGGGGGCAGTTTTGGTTGTTTAGCGATTCTACGCCAGCCACCACCGTCCCTTTGGTACGGTTCTGCTCGACTGATTGCACCGAGTGCTCGCTTCGGATTTTGGGAAATCGGGAAACCGAGTACGTTTGGTAGAAACAACGGTGTGATTTATGGAAAATCACGAGCAATTCTCTCGATCGTTTTCACTTACCATCATCTCGTATTCCTGTCCAGCCTCGAAACCACGCTGAGAGTACACCATCCCCGTGGTAGGGTGGATTTTGAACTTGCCCTTGCCGCGGCCACCCTTGATGCTGTACTGGATCTTCCCATTCTCACCGATGTCTTTATCGTTCGCGAGTACCTATCGTACAGGAACACACAATGACAAATGAAAGCCTAAACCTTCTGAAACGCACGTTTCCTTCGTTTTTTTTCATTCTCTACTAATATAGCTGTATACAGACACAAAAGATAGAACATTAGTATCGGCTGTATGTAAAAGAAAGAGAGAAGGAATCTCGAAACGATTCGCAAGTATCAAGCTGCTAATTGACAAATGCTATCGCGGAACTGCGAAACCGTAAATTATACCCGCAAAAGCCTCGATATACCCTGTGCATGTGTGTGTGTGTATGTACAGTTACGCGCCTCCTGCATTCTCGCGACAGACACGTACACACATACACACACAAGGTACAAATCGACAAACGTCGAGTGTTAAACGTTCGGAAAGAGAGAGGAAAGAAAAACAAAAAAAAAA